CATTTCAACTTTGTTGATATATCCAAATCATTTGTGTTAGAGTTCGGATTCGCTTGGCGGCTGCTTGTAATTTTTGCTTCCATAAGTCAACGATTTCTAAAACGGGTGGCCGCCACTTTTTGGTCAATTCTTGTACTGAAACATTCTCGATTTGTCATCAGAAAATTGTCAGTTCCCAGACCATGGGTTACTTCCTCGGCCGCGTGTTCCTCTTCTTGCTGAAGGTTGGGGCTGATCCAAGTAAGATCCGCTTCAGGCAGCACATGTTCAATGAAATGGCACATTACGCTTGTGACTGTTGGGACGCCGAACTCCTTACGTCCTATGTAAGTAGTGGGATAATTTTTCTAGTTCTCGAGATACGTAACTCGCAGTAGAGTGTACATGTACTGCAATAGAGTAATTTTCAATTCAGTGTCGAAAGTAATCCGAGATTGCTTTGTTTTTGCTTTACTTGGCTCCGTGATTGGCCCCGAAAAATTGCGCCATTCTCTCCACCAATCAGATGCTAAAGTAAAACCAATTTAGACTTGATCGCCTGCGTTTTCTCGCGCTTTGGTAGTTTGGTTATTTTTAATTTCATTGGCTCTTAAAGGTATTTTCCTTTCTTCTGAGTGGCTGTTGGGATTATTTTGGTTTTGGTTTGACATCGCGCAATCGAGAATCGAATCGTGATCTGCTTTGTTCTCATTGGTCTAAGATGTCGCGCTTCTTTCCACCGCAAGGAGACGGGTGCTGCCTAGTTCATGAGCAGGCTAACATGGAGCTAAGAAACAATGGCTCTTAGCTTTCTAAAGTTACAAATCACAATAACTGCAGATGAATTAATGAGTGCGTGTGTTTGAGCGCCACAAGTGGAAAGATGCTGAGTTATTTGGCGCAAGTGATGGCTAAGTTGGTGTGAGTAATTCAGGAAAAAGCGAAGATTTAAAAAGTTCGCAGTAATAGTATTTTACTAACTACTTAACAAATGGTAAACACCACAGCGTACACTATTGAGTTATGGATGCACGCGGGAGGTTGCTAAGCACGAAAGAAGCGTAAGAGTCGCTCGAAGCGATAGCCGAGAGCGACTCTAGCTTCTTGAGTGCTTAGCAAACCTCCCAAGTGCATCCATAACTCAATAGTGTACGCTGTGGTGTTTACCATTTGTTTTATAACATAACATTGATACATTGTAGCTAAAGAGTTCCCTTTTATTTAACAAATCTTACGTGACCAGAAAAAANNNNAAGCTGAAGCTCCTAAAAAATAAAAACTTTTCCGAGCAAAGTCAAGTCTCACTTTCGGCAGAGCAACGGTGGTCCCTCTGTTCCTCGTATTAAAATCGTGGGTTAACAATTTAAAATATTCTTTGAAAGGACTACAAACATTGCCTTTTAGGCAATCAAAAACAAATAAACAAGCCTTTTTCTTTAAAAAATTTTCAATTGTGGGTAGACGGAGTTCACAGTTTAGACATTTTGAGTTTTGCAGAATAATCCTGTGACTACGTTGTTCCAGGTTTCTTATTTGGCACCTTCGTGTCTCTGACCAACCAAGCGTAATTTGACCGCAATAAGTGAATATGGGCATTATCATTGCTCTGTAGATTCGTTCAGCGCTTAAGGTGTCAGTGTTAGAACGGATTCGTCGTAATAAATTCACTCTTCCTGCAGATTTCTTGTATGTTTTGTAAAAGTGCTTGTCAAGATTCAATGTAGGGTCCAGATAGACACCTAGGTACTTGTAATTTGTAGTCGTGTCGATGCGAGATCCATTTACTGAGAGGTTTATCTTTGCCATCAAAACCACTTAATCTTTTTGCTGTTCCGAATAGCATTAATTCAGTTTTTCCTTTTTTGAGATTAATGATGAGTTCGTTATCTCGAAACCAGGAGGCGAGGCTATTGATGTCTTCGCTGAGGTTGTGTTGGTTAATATCCAAGTCTTTCGAGGATGTGAAAATTACCGAGTCATCTGCGTATGTGATAATCTTAGAAAAACGGAGTTGTGGACATCATTAAAATGAATTAAAACAATAACGGCCCGAGTATACTTCCTTGGGGAATACCTGTGAAAACAGGGTTAGGTTCTGACAATACTCCCTTAAATTGAACGATCTGGTTTCGGAGGAATAAATAGTCCGTAAACCAGTTCAGTTCATTATCCTGTATTCCATAGCGAGACAGAGCGAAGTGTAGTAAAGGCAATGTTTCCGCAGACTATTTTTGCAACTCGATTAAAAATTCCTTATTCATTGGAACAATTTGGTGCTCATTGCTCTGTTTAGGAAATGATTGACATTGTGGAAATCGTCCCAGAGAAGCCAGCAATTGGCAAAGCATTTAAAAAGGAAGGGAAAGTTGTCATGGATTATCTGGCTCAGATGGACAGGGATGCTATCAAAGAGTTTGAGGACAAGCTTAATGAAAACGGGTAGGTAAAAAGGAAACGAAACACGAGTCCTTTTTTTTTTCGTGTGACTTAACTTGCTAGACGTTCTCTAATGCAACTTGATATATTAGAGCGACTAAAGTAAATAAACGTGCGAATATGTCACTTACAGCCGCCTACTTTGAGTTGTTTTTGCTCATTTAAATGGAAATGTTTCCACTTACTGAGAGAGTGACCGAGGGGTTTTAAAGATTTGTTTCTACAGGGTTCCTGGAGGGATTGAACCAAGCGTTTGGTATTTCATTATTTTTCGCGAATTATGGCGAAACAAAGTTAGTTAAGAAGTCAACAAGTCATAATTAAATGTTTTGTCCGCCGTAAGCATTCATCTCTTCACCCCTGAGAGCGATAAGTATCGAATTTCTCCCAACAGTATCACCCCCTTAATCAAACAGCAGCCAGCAGCTAAGGGAATGTATAGAGAACAGTACGGAGAACTTGCATGCTGATGTTAGTGTGTAAAGGATTTAGCATCATTTTGTGCGACCTGCTAGCTTGGAATATTGTATCAGCCAAGGGAATTTGCGACTTTAAATCCGGTCTAGTTTAAATTTTTTTTTTATACTTTTCATTCCATGTTTTTCTTAGAAAGGTGAATTTAACGGTAGAAAACAAGGAATTCGTCATTGAAAAGGCCATGATTAGGGAGATCAAACGATACCAGAAGGAAATTCATGGTAAGTTAAACAAAGATGTTACCAAGGTCTGTTTACAACCTTTTTATTTTCAGGGGGAATTACAGAAGTCTAACCTGTTTGTTTTTGTTTTTTTTTTTTTTTTTCGTTTTTTTTGTAGTGCGTGACGTAGAACCCCACGTGATCGAACCGTCGTTTGGAGTTGGTAGAATCATGTATGCTGTCCTTGAACACAACTTTAGAATTCGCGAAGGAGACGAGCAGAGGACGGTAATATATTCATTGTTCACTTGTTTTGATTTAGGTCATTGGTTATCTAGTGGGAGTGGGGGAGGGGAATAAAGAGGATTTCCTTTGTGTCACGATTAAATTGACCTGATTCCCCTGAAGGTTCTGTAATATTCTTACGATCCCCTTTAATTAGTAGTCAATTTTCTGTAGTCCCCCTCCCCCTTTAAACTCTTTTGGCTGCGACTGTTCCCCCCCTCCGTTCCTTCTGAAAAGCCCATTTGATCCTCCTCTACAGTGAGCTGTTCTTTAACCTTTTATACCCAAACATCTGTATGCGTATTTTCCCTACTGTTCTTTATACATACGTATGATGCACGATCCTCGCAGCAGAGAGCGCTATTTGTGCAATAGCGAAAATCAGACCTGAAAAAAATCAGGCCTGTACAGGATTCGAACCATTGACCTCTGCGATACTAGTGCAGCGCTCTACCAATTGAGCTAACAAGCCAACTGGGTGCAGGCCGTTAAGTTGATTCGTAAATAGCGCTCTCTGCTGCGAGGATCGTGCATCATACGTATCTATTACCGCAGTTCAAAATATATGAACTTCATCATATTCATCATATCTGTTCTTTATACGTTTCTTAATCAAGGGCTTCTGAAGTTCGTGACCATTTTCTCTATTCCCGTGACTTTACTGTCTTAATCAGGGGTTATACCGTAAGGAGAAATAAGATGCTGGTCACTCTTGGGGGGGGGGGTCAAAGTGTTAAACTCGACCCAGTGGAGACCCCCTCCACAGGGTCGAGTTTAACACTCTGACCTCGACCATCACACAACAAATAATTAGCTCTACTTACGGGGTAGTTTTTGCAACCAGGGGTTGATGAAGTGCCCCTCTTCTCAGCCCCCTAACCTCTCATGTTAATGAAACTCCGAAACCAGGGCGTCCTCTGGGAAATTAATTAGAAAATATTATCTTCTTTGGTTGGACACAAAGCCACAGTCTGGGAGGAGGACCTTTTGATCATCGCTTTTCAAAGGGAATGAAATAGAGAGACGCGTCATCTCCGAAATTGTAACAAAACTCAGTAGTTTCTACACGAACGAATCAAATCTGTTCTGTTTTTGCTCTCTTTAGTGGCTGTCCCTTCCTCCTGCTGTAGCGCCCGTTAAGTGTTCCGTACTTCCGCTCAGCAAGAACACTGAATTTGGCCAGTTTGTCAAAAAGCTGTGTAAGTATTTATTTATTTATTTATTTTATTTATTATTTTTTTTGCGCTTAAGTCGTTCACTATCACGCAAAAGGCAGCCAAGACTGGAAAGTCTGGAGCGAGGAAAACAACAAGGGGAGAGACTGTCGGGACCCTTCTTCCACCTTGACGCTCTCAGTGACCTCCTCGGTACACTTTTTACTCTCTCCACGTTTCTCTTGTTCTGGCAAATTTGATATGGCGACCTTATCACTCCAACAAAATTGTTTTTCGTCCTCGCTCGCCAGAGAAAATAGGCCTGCTATGCAGATAGCGTAGATAACCTAGTGTCCAGGTCTTTTTTCTCTCGTCCTTTTCCAAATTTCCCAAGAGAAGTCCAGGTAATCAGTGGAGCTAGCTGCGCCGACAATTGAGACCTAGCATGATTCAAGTGATGTTGCTCTTAAAACTCCCTGTGCAGGCAGATTACAGTGACTCTCCATCTTCGGATTAAGACGATGCGATACATCCTCAACAGGAACATAGAATCTTTTTTGGGAAGTTATACACCTTTTTTTTTTTTCGAGCTAAAATTCTCGATTTGTTTCTTGTTTTAATTATATTTTGAAGCGGAGTCTCTAACAGAGCTGGACATCTCCCACAAAGTTGATGACTCCAGTGGATCAATCGGTCGGCGTTACGCTCGAACCGACGAGATAGCCATTCCATTCGGTATCACTGTGGACTTTGACACAGTGAACAAGGAACCTCACAGTGCTACGCTGAGAGAGAGGAACTCCACTCGCCAAATACGAGCACAGGTAAGAAATGTTTCATCGCCGTCAGGAGTGAGACGGGGTACTTAGCCGTAAACACGCACAGATGGGTATTCGGACCTAAAAACCAGTTAAAATGTGATCTGCCTTGTAGACCCGGAAGAACACCAATGAAACTTTCCAAAATGTCGTTAGAAACCAAATTCTACCTAAGAAACAAACCCGGATAACAGCCAAAAATGTTTTTCCTGGTTTCACTACGACACAAAATATTTTCTGTTGTTTTTTTTAGATTGATGAGTTACCCACCATTGTCAGCAACCTTGTCCGTGGAAAGGTTACGTGGTCAGAAATAGAGGCACAATATGGTCTGTTCGAAGGACAGGAGACTGGTGCCAAGTAGACAATTAACCTAGCTCAGTGCCCCCCTCCCTGCAAATAATACAAATTGGAAACAGTCGAGGAAACCAAATAACATCAGAAAGTGATCTTACAAGAACCCGACGATGTCCCATTTCCCTAACTTGAAGCAAGTTGCGCGGCAATACCGCCGATAAGCATGCGCTCGCCTTGTTAGGTTTTCCTCGACTGTTGCAAAACAGGCTTTGGAAAGAGAGAATAAAAATATTTAAATGATATGCGATGGAATGTTATCCTTGCAATTAGTAGTCGGCTCTCCTTGATGGGCGCGGTGGTTACGAATACAAGTTAAACTCAGAGAGAGAGATAGAGACTGGGGATAGAGAAAAGGGAATAGACTGGGGATAGAGAAAAGGGAATAGACTGGGGATAGAGAAAAGGGAATAGACTGGGGATAGAGAAAAGGGGCGCGAGTTTTCTAGACAAACCACAAAGCGAAGTAAAGAACGACCGGAGCAATCCTGGATTAATTTCGACACCGTATTGAAAATTGCTTTACTGATTTTCGGGGTGAAGTCTCCTAGCTTGATCTTCTCCTGGGAAGGGCGAAATTCCATGTCAATAGCAAGAATAAAGGTTGATCTAATTAGGTTACCATGCGAATGCAGGCGTCGCCTCCAACATAACTAAACTACCAACATGCCCTTCATTGAACAACTTTAATGGAAGAAAACAGAGTCATCGCTTGTTTTTCAAAACTGCTTTAAACAATTAACAAAAACCAACAGGCTGATTTTCACTGAGTCAACGGATTCAAAAAGTCTGTGTTTTTCATGCAGCAAAACAAAGTAAACTTGACTGGCGACTACCAATCGTCAATTCTTTTCTTTTTCTTATGCTTTCGCTTTGGCTGCCAAATTGGTTTGTTTGATTTAGGTGGCATATTGGCAGCAGCCCTTCTGTCCTTGTACTCTTGCCTGCAAGGAAAAGACAACCAGAGAAAAAGTAAAGCTCATCGAAGTCAGATTTGTCCAGTGATACTGTTACAACATTGAACCGGTAAAACAAACGCATGCGAGCAAAGGGTAGAGTTTGGAAGCAAATGGTAACAGGTGACAACTTGAAACGCGCTATTTTTAATCTTGCCGTATCTTCCTTGGTGTATCTTCCTGACATCCAGCAGAATTATCGGTTAGAGAGACTTCGTTCGTTTGACCACTGATGTCGTGCAAGTTAATCTTAATTAAGACTTTTTCAAAATACAGGCTATTCGCAGCATTTAAATAACTCACCATTTCCGTCCGATGAATTTCACAGTTCGCACACATAACCGGTATGCGAGAAAACCAGCAACCAAAAGAGCAACATTGACAACCAAACCAGCGAAGACAGCATAGACGCCATCTTGCCAGGACACGAAATCAAAGCGAGCTTGAATATGTTTCACATGTTCTGTGGGAAAACAAAATTAAAGATATTATTTTTTATAATATTATCAATTGAATCAATGATGAGATGATGACGACTACGACGACGACGATGATGATCATGTTGGTAATAATTAACAATTATTCGCCGAAGGCGAGGTGAATATCGTCGAATAATCCCCGAGACAAACTCGAGGGGATTATTCGACAGTATTCACCGAACCTGAGGCGAATAATTGTTTTAGTATAATTTCAGAGCTGAACAACAGAGAAATTTCTAAAATCATAATATTTTAGTAACATTTATTAACTTTTTATATAAACCGCGTGGAGCGGTTTATATAGCGTCATATAAGGAACCGCTCGACCAATCAGATTGCTGGAAACTCTTTGCTCAGTTCTGAAACTATACTAACAATCAGTAATGACAATAATTCTATCCCAGCCGGAAAGTGAGAAAGGAAATTTTAATTCACGTCACTGCCAGGCCAGTTATGACATGTCCAATAAAAAAATCAATTTTGAGGCTATTTGACTTACCATGCAGGAAACCGAAATAAAACTCAACAACAAAATCCGTGATATAGTGGACGACAGGAACAAATAGCTCAACAATCAACATCACTCCGTAAACCATCATCTTGGCAAGCTCAGCTGCCTTATTTTGAACCATATCAGACAACGAATATGACGCAGTTATGGCAAAATCCACCAACCATTTAAGTCCATTCCAGATCAAATCAGCCAACCAATAAAGTCCATTCCAGATTAACCCAGCGCAGTTCCACAATAATTTTCCAAGCCACTCTGCTCCGTTCCACGTCAAGTCTGAAAACCATGCGACTTTTCCCCGAGTCCAATTAACCATTCCAATCCAGACGTACCCAAGTCCATTGGACACTTTCCTGGTTAATGCCTTTAAGACCACAATGCATTTCTTCCACATCCCCGACGTCAAATCCACCGCAACGTCTTGCACATGGGTCATTACTGTCACTGTAAAGTTCCACATCCGGGATATCAATCCAGGGTTTGTAGTCTCGAAAGCATCATAGTCAAAGCATGTCGTGTTTCCAAGATACTGGGGGATTTTCTTGCACTTGAAGACCTAGAAACGATGATTTATAAAAGTTATTGGACTTGTGAGATCAGGTAAAAGTAGTCCGGTTGATTTAGAAGTTGAGAACATAAAACTAGGAAAGTTAGACGGAATATAAAACGAACGATTAGTACTGATACCTTTGAAAGTTTAGGTCTGTCGTACCCATCAGATTTGCCTTGGACATCAATGGAAGCTATTTCGTAAATCAACATCAGTTCAAGATCCATGGACGGAATTTGAATCTTAACTGCAACCTGCTGTGGTAGATAAAAAAGAAATGTTCATATAAAAATTTCTGGAAACGATTTCGTTTTGCAGATATATTTGGAATAATTTCTCATTCATTTCAAATGCCCAATGCCATAAACCCTAAAAAAGTAGTCCACCCAGCTGGAGCCTATTCCAGTAGACCATCGCAGATTACTACCACCTACCACTCCAGGGGGGGGGGTGGTGGATGAAAGGATTTTTGAGGAGGAATCATGTGGTTTTCAGGGGGGACGGAGGGGAAACCATCTCTCGCCAGCAGAGCATAATTGGGAAACTTTAGAAAATAGACTACCAATCAAATGCCAAGGAGGGGGAAAGGGATCAAAAGAACAGAGTTTGGGGGAGGAGAGTCAGGGAAGTCTTTTTCGTGACACAACCGTGACTTCAGCCACCCCCCGGCCCTCACCCCTCCCCTTAGGTCTCTGGTACTTATTTATACTCCCTGGGTGGAGAGGGACTCTGCAAGAGTTGGTGTCTTGTCCGAGGAACAAGGTTTCAAGTAACAAATAGAATATGTCTTGAACTGCATTTCTTTGCAGCCAACAATCAATAAGCCTCAGAAATCTGAATTTCGCCAAACCTTGTTGTCCCATTTTACAGTTATCATCATCTTGTGCTGGTTGAAATCATTCTGTCTTAGCTCCCCACTAACTTGACTGAGAGTTTCTATATGAAAGCAAATGAAAATTAATGACGATCATGATAATAATATACGTATGATGCACGATCCTCGCAGTAGATAGCGCTATTTAAGCAATAGCGAAAATCAGACCTGAATAAAATCAGGCCTGTACGGGATTCGAACCACTGACCTCTGCGATACTAGTGCAGCGCTCTACCAATTGAGCTAACAAGCCAACTGGGAGCAGGCCGTTAAATTGATTCGTTATAAACCCGTGAAAGTGATAAATCAGATACAATGAAAGATATGATTTTTTTCAGGTCTGATTTTCGCTATTGCTTAAATAGCGCTATCTACTGCGAGGATCGTGCATCATACGTATCTAATACCGCAGTTCAAAATATATGAATTTCATATATCATTGTATCTGATGATAATAATATGTGTGGTAACTGCAATATGTCCAGTTAATTTTCCATGATAAAAAAATTTTCACCTTTATTCAGCCTCGCACACCTTTTGGTTGTTTTTTTTTTTTTTTGAAATGATCAACGTCTGTTTATTTGGAAAGAAACTAAAAAGAATTTGGTGCAACGTAACCGTTAATGAAGCGCGCGCTAAAAAGAAATTAACTCAAAATCACTCGGGCTGCTACCATAGCAACTAGAAACCTTTGTTTTGTGGAAAATGGTTTTTCCGGAGAGTGTGTTCTGCGAAAAGTTCAAACGTCTTTACTCGAAAGATTCAACAACGAAAATTGAGCGATTCCTTCAACCATAGTTAGTAGAGGGGAATTAACTATGCTTTAACAAGTGTAAACCGGTTGACCTGAAGAGCCAGGTTGCGTCTGTTCCTATTGTTTAGCCCGAACAAGTTATTACTCGAGAGGCATTAAGGAAGAGAAAAAAGTGTTTTTAAACAAATGAAAGACCTTACCTTCCAGGTTAGCACTGTTTGTAACATTTAAGAACAAAGATAAAAGCGAAAGCGCTATTAGCGCAGTCACCCACTTCATCTCCGATAAGTCTTCGAAGTTTTTTTCCTCTCTCGCAAAAAGTGCAAACTTGCATTTGCCGCGAAAAACTAGTGAATTAAAGATTGTCGTCACAATGATTCCTTATGACGCAGGCCATGCGTTAGCCGCGCGAGATAGTCGCTAAACTCGGTCCCATGCACGACTTAAGTGACCAGAACGGCGCGAAAACCGCATTTAGAAATAAGACGACTGCTCTGCATTCGATTCGCCACCCACCACCCTCTGTTTTTTTCAAAGCAACACTCGCAATTATCTCAGCTTTTCAAAATCAAGAGTTTATCCGTCAGCAATCTGCCAAAATTTTAATCGATTGCCGAAATACCTGATAACTAGGTTCACGGTGCAGAGCCACGTTTACTGTGGTCATTACTTTTTGATTATTTTCGGCCTCGCAAATAGGGAAGTGCCGATAAGACATAGCTGATAAGATGCGAATAATGAAAATCCCATGGTGAAACCAATTTACGTCAAAGTTGATGACCGCACAGCTATTATTCGCGAAGAGACAATTCATCGTGACAGTAAACTAAGACACTTTTGGAATATTTATTATAATTTCGACCTATGATTGCAGCAGCGGCCTGTTGGTCTAGTGGCATGATTCTCGCTTAGGGTGCGAGAGGTCCCGGGTTCGACTCCCGGACAGGCCCGCGGATGGTATATTTTCTTTTTCTTTTCTTAACAAATTTTTTTTTCTCTTTCTGGGTTTCAATATTTTTTCACCCTTAGTTTCCACGATTTGAAATTCTTGTTTGCGTTGGACTCGATGGAATACCTCACAACATCGCTTGAGAATAAGGTAACACAGCATGGTTTATGAATGACCAGCTGAAGCAAGTAAAAATTGTCAATCGAACAGAAATATCTCTACGGTCGGTTAGGATCTAGAATTTTAAAGAGTATTTGTGAATGTATCATTTCCTATTTTTCTTTTTCGTTCACGACAGAATTGAATAAATTGATCCCCATGGCCATGTTCAATCGCAGTCCAGTTGAGGGCGACATGTGGAGGTTGATAGTGACAAAAAAACAATGCAAAAGGTTACAAAATTTTTAATTTCTTGAAAAAAGTCGTTGATATCGAGTGGAGAACTGCTAAGAGAGGATCGGAACGTCTGAGTTGTCCCCTCTGACTACCACTCTCCACCGCCTTGCCTCCACCCACCAAGTAAAAAAAGCCCGGCTACCCAGCCAGTAGTTTTCGCGCCACACATCGTGTGGGTAGGTATCAATTTAATTTTTTTCTTTAATTTTCTTTTTGAGTGGGTAAACGTTACAAAACCTGTATGTTAAGTTTTTCAAGTCATTTCAAACTCCACATTTTCCTCATCTATCAAGGCATAACAATGATACTCAATTTTCCAAGCAGCAGAGCTGCATTGGTTTGCAGGAACATCCTTTGCTTGTTTGATCGTTATTTATTGTTTTATTTATTTCTACTTATCATTTATTTATTATAAGAGAGAGTGATTGTCTTGGTTCCCACAAACATTTTTTTGACACATCTGTAATTTCCAGCGCAAAGCTAGGAACAAAATAAGAGATCAGAAGTTGTCATGTTTTTTTTGTCATCTTCTGTGACACCACTCTGACCAGTCTGCAAATTATGATTGATTCATTTTAATTATTAGATTTTAAGGTTCCTATCCACCTCAAGTTGTCAAAAAAAAAAAAAAAATACAAATTATGATAAAATTATGGTTGCTATTTTGTCAAATATTT